TCGTTTTACGCCGCCCGCGTCAATTACTCGACCGTCATTCCGGATTTTACCCCGCGTTAACCCTCGAGGCCGGCAATCCTCTCGCGCCCGCCTTGGCTCCGCGCGAAGAGGAGGAAGCCCGAGATGATCGTTCGACGCGCGCGCGGTTCCGTATTTGGGACGATCCGCGTAACGCCGCGCCCGTACCTCCCCGTGGCGATTCGTTCCGCCAATTAATCCATGTAACTGTTTCGTATGCGCCGCGTTATTAACGATTACGGCTACGAAATGTCGGTACCTCGAAATTATTTAATATCCCGACAAATGGGCCTCTTCGTACGAACAACGGAATCTGTCCCTCCCTCGTCTCAGGAAACGCAAAAGAAAAGCGTGTAAAAGTTCTGGTCCGATTACTTTATTGTAGCCGCTATTTCATGACGCCGCGAACATATTCTGGGAAAAAAAAGACAGCAACCCATTTTGGGGCCCACAATTAGTAATCGAATTATTTGAATTGTTCGTGACTCTAATCTTTTATGAATTTTATCTCGCGCAAACTAAAAATCGCAATTAGCTACTATATTCTATCTAAGTCCGAGATTTTTAGATAATACTAATCAAGGATCTCAATTAGTTTTGTTGATATTCAGTAACGCAAAGATAATTTTCACTTAAGAGGCACTAACCAAAATGTTAAGTTGCTTAATCACAAAAAAAACGGTCAAAATTTTTCCCAGAGTACACTGACAGACAACATTTTTTAAACTAAGTAAATAGATTCACTTAAAATTATTGTTTCTTAATAAAGTATATTAATTTAAATCATTGCATTTTCTACATTCAAGTAAAGATTTTGTGAGCTATAGAATATTATTTATTAAATGAAATAATTGTTTTTCTTCAATAAGAAAACCAATTTTCTTCGCTATGAAAATTACATCTTAGTAAACATTTTATAGAATTAAAATGAAATTTTTTTTAATTTAAAATTATCTACGCTTTGATATTTAATAAATACTTAAATTAAAGAATTGCATTGTTTAATTTGTTTATTTTTTAAATTTAAGTTAATAAGCTATTAGGGGCCACCGAATGAATAATTTTCTTGAGTAAAGTAATATTTTTTTGGGTTAAGATATCTTTCTTATCAGTGTAGAGATTACTAATTGTGGGCCCCAAAATGGGTTGCTGTCCTCTCTCCCCAGAATAAAAATCTAACGGTTGATATTATCACAAAATAATTATGCCGAGACAGTTCATTGTAAATTTCGTTCTCATATTAGGTATATGAATTCAATCATTTGTAAAACAAAAATACAGATCCACATGTAGTTCACAATTATGAGCGAGGAGTTTTCCGACATCTTTGAGAGGCGCTGCAGTCTGGGATAATGTGTTTAATATAATATGTATACTCAATTATATTCTGCTGAATTATAACAGCACAAGTAGAATGATACTTCCACCTCATCAGAATTTTAAATCGAGTTTCACATAACACACGTGTATTTGAATTAATTTCGTTCTACGTGTCAGCTCCTTTCGCGCAACAGGCGAGTACGATCTAGCGATATGTATATTTGCAACAGATCCTCGTGTCTTTTTTTTCCAAATGTTTTTTTATCTTTTCTCCTGGCCACGAAAGCGGAGTCACCGAACGCAATTTCACCGCGCGTGAAAAATCGAGTCCCACGGGACAGCCGATTTCAGGTCGGTATCATAGCGCGGACAGTGATTTTTAATTAAATGCGTGGACGTTTCAATTAAAACCGTCGACTGGGGAGGTAACGTAGTCCCGTCATTTTCTTCCTCTTTATTCATCCGCCCCATTCGCGGAAACGGTGGAAACAGGGCGATTCGAATTTTAAATCCACCTCGAAAGCGCCGTAAATAATTCATGTCTTACCTCCAGATCGCGAGAGAGTTCGCGGGGGATCTGGCGGCATTGGCAGTGATTCCGGATAATAAAGAGGAAGATAACGGATGTCAGTCCAATCAATAGAATACAATTAGGGGCTTGTTCGCACTGACGGCTTCTCCGCTCTTTCAGTGTTTTCATCGATGTTATTAGGTGTTCGCAGTCTCGCTTCTTTTCCGCTCTTATTTCCGCCGCCGTTTGCTCTTTTCATCGTCTGCGAAATAACGCCCCACCTCCTAACACGACCCGACTCCGATTTTATATCAACTTCGCCGGGGATTATCGAGTTGTTGAAAAGAATTGATCTTATACATTATGGTTAAGCACACTTATTTCTCCTCTCTTATTTCCCTCTTTTCTCGCGCGAGCTGCCGCCTCGCGACCGGTCATATTTTTCCTCCGCTATATACGGTGTCGTTCCCGTTCGATGTTTCAGCAGATGCCGCCAGCTCTGACTTCTCTCTTTTCCTCTTCCGACCGTGGGATGTCGAATGCGAAAGGCGTCGGGTCGATGTAACGTCGAGGACTGAGGACCGGGTAGAAATGAAAACTTTATAGGAAATAAAAAGGTACAGTGCGTAATATCCGATTGGTTTCCCTCGTCGAATGAAAAATTGCAGCGATGGAGAAACCTCTCCAGCACGAATCAAATTTCGCGAGAGGAAGCGAAGCTGTGTAGAATAAATCCGGCGGGAGAAATGGGGAACGCAAAATTACGGTCTCTGTGCTTTCGATCGGCGGGCGAAGAAAGAAAACGCGATATAAGTAAAAGACAGCGCGAAAGGGAACGTTCCGTATTGCAGAAACGCTCGCGCATTTTTATCACGGTTCGCGCGGATGATGAATAATCTTCTACGCGTTAACGCAGCCGCGGTAAATCTGGACGATGGTTTCACGAGCGATAAAACGCCACGTGAAGTTACAGCGCGTGCGCGCACGCACATTTTCGCGCGTTCGGGATATTTAATGACGTGGGGCGAACAAGCTGCGGTTTTCATTTCCGCAAAAAGACCCTGAGCTTCTGCGCTATTATTGAAACAACGCACGAGGCGAGTTAATCGGGAAAAATGCCAGCGAAGCGTTCACTGTACAGTGCTATTCATGAATGCCTGCTCTCTAAAAGTCAATCAGTGCATTATCACTGAAAACAGTTATAAGTACAGCACCGAATATTCACTCAATATTTACTGAATGTTCACTGTTTTCAGTGACAATGTGATAAACTGACGATGGAATTCTGTGCGTACTACAGCCTGAAACTCATCGACGTATAGATAGGAATAAAAGATTATGAAAAGGCAAGGCAGTCATTAAAGCAAAAGGTGGTTACTTTGAGGAGTCTAAACTTTCATTCAAATCTTTATCAAAAGCTTGTCGTATGTACACATGTGTGTCTTCGTTTTAGTTTTCTATAGTTAAATAAACACTTAAAAAGTAAAATGCATCGATTTTATTATGCATTTCTTTCATACTTGTATAAAGTGTTTCCAAATTTCTGGATGGTACTGTACATACAGCCTGAAATTTAGTGATTCGTACAGACGGGAAAAATGATGATAAAAATGCGGGTGCAGGCA